GGAGAAATTAAACAGTTGACTGCAAAAAGCAAACTTTTTTTTTAAAAGATTAAATAGGTAAAGATGACTTTGCAGAGAATGAAAGTAACATCAGGGAGGGGTATCCAACTCACAGTGACCCCTGTTGGGTTTCCAAGGTGGTAAATCTTTATGGAAGTAAATTGCCCCATCTTACTTGCACAGTGGCTGGTGGGTTTGAACCACCAACTTGGTTAGCAGTCCAATGCCTTACTCGCTGAGCCACCAGCACACCTTATTTTAGATGTGGTTTTTCATTACACGAGATTACGGTATTTATGTAAATCCTAAATTGGGCTAAGTAGTAGAGAAGAAACTAAATAAGCCTCAGAACCTTAAAGAAGTTGAAATGGTCTTCAGAGATTTTGTGCTCCAAATGGACCAGGCTCAGGCTGTTCTGTGGGAGAGTTTCATCAGATTTTTAAGAAATCTAATTCCTCTGTTACAGAAGAATACTGGTATATAGAAAATGATGGTGAGCATTCCAACCTTTATAATTTCATAAAGCCAACAATAGCCCTGATCTATAGTGGACTAGAACAGGACCAGAAAATCAGTACAATGTCATACATGTCATTTACCCTAAAAATGCAGTGATCGATGGACATTGAAAAAGACATTGCTTGAGAGTCTCTCCACAGTGCAGAGGAACATTGGGTAAACCATACCAGTACTCCCCCCAAAGCTTCCATAAGATGTCATCCCCCTTTCTGATGTAGATCCAAGTACAGTTATGAATGGTGCTCTGGTGGCATAGTGCTTAAGACATTTGACTGTTAACCAGAAGGCTGGCAGTTCAAACCTACCAGCCATTGTTCAGAAGGAAGATTGGGCAACCTACTTCTATAGTGATACCACCTCGGAAATCCAAGAAGGGGCTGCTATGAGTTGTATACAAGAGACAGAGAGGCAGGAACAGGCGGAACGGGCCTCGGTGAGAGCGCCAGGTCCCACTGCCCTTAAGAATGTGTGTGTGTGTGTCT